TAACATGTGAAACAGAACATCATAATAAACTTATTCTTCCTAAACTCTAGAGTTCTGTGAGACATCACAGTACTTCATAGTGAAATTCCTTACTTTCAGCACTATTCATGTGGAAAGCGTTCTGTTGCACCTATATTTCAAACCTAGGTGCTATGAACTACAGGCAGAGAAAAGCTCCATTAAACGGACATTGTAAACAGAGCTGGGCCAACTTATTATGACAGCAGGGGGAGAGATTTCAAATTCTAGAGAGAAAGATTACCACTTTTTTCTAAAAATGAGAATAACATCCAGAGTGAGGACTTGAAGCAAACCAACTTTCCAATCTCCCCTTAATAGAAAAATCATGAGAGGCAGTTAGCAGTATAGAAGAGGTACAGATACTACTCTAAGGAGTATCTGTCAATATAAAATCAACAAAGACAGTGACATAAAGTAATACATTAATTTTAAAGATATGATTGCATATAAAACAACAAGGTCTGGAATACATTAAGAATTCAATAAATTTTAACTATTATTGTTGTTATCATAATTGTTATCTTTATCATAGGTAGGAATTCTGGGCAATGTTGAATATTTTCTCAGTGAAATATGAAATATCTATTAGGGTTTGAGAACGATCACTAATGAAAGCATTTTCAGTCCAAGTACCAAATAAGATGCCTTGTTTGAGATGACAAGGGTAAAAAAAAAAAAAAAAAAAAAGTGAAAGTCTGTCTTTTTTTAATGCAAATTACATACTACAAAATTATAATGGTCTTAATCAGCTAGCTGGTTTTTCTCTCAGTGGCTGCACTTACTGGTCTTAAACACTTACAAATTTATGCAAATACAGAGGGAACAGTACATTACTGTTTTACAAAATACTCAAGCAAAACAGCTTAATAAGAAATACAGATAGATATTTTCTTCATCAGCATGAAATTGGAAGCTGCAATTCTAAGAGGATTTTGTTGATCTGTCACCACATTAAAACACTCAGAAATAAAACAGGGTGGCCACTCCTTCCCCCTTACTGATGATAAAACTTGATTTTCCTTCATAAGTGAGTAATGATGAGCCTAATGATGATGGTACTAATTATACTAATGGAACAGTATATAAAGATTATAAAGAAAATTTTATAATAAATTTGATCAAAAATGTGAAACATATACATTTCTATTCACTTATAAGACTAACAATTTATTCATTGAGATCATCTAAAGGAAAACAATTATAAATAAAAGATAAACAAAAACACATTTTATGACATCAGAGACCAGTTCTACAGAAGGAAAAAGATCTCAAGTATTATGAGCTTAAAAAGAACAGAAAAGAGATAGTAATAAATGGAGACAGAGAGACAAATTTACTGATGCCACCTTCACCAAATGCCTTTACTATAAAGCTAAGATACTATTACTAAAAGAGGAACACTACGTTATAGCAAATTAGATGACAAAAAGATTGAAGTCACTCAAACTAAATTTCCTGGAACACGACAATAGCAAATAAAGGTGATTTAGGTTGTATTTTAAAGCTACTTAATTGGGCTCGCTGGTTAGCACAATTGATTAGAGTGTGGTGTTGATAACACCAAGGTCAAAGGTTCAGATCCCTTTGCCAGCCACACACACACACACACACACACACACACACACAATAGCTTGATAAAGCTATTTCATAACTGTCGCTGAAATTACACACACACACACACACACACACACACAAGGGTACTTCAAAAAGTTCATGGAAAAATAGAATTAAAAGATAATACAAATCTTTCCATGTATTTTTTGAAGTACTATCATGTAACCTCAAGTTACTATGATGGATAAGTATCAATTATTCTAGTCAAAACATATTAACAAATCACGATTCCTTTTAAGTATTAACTGAAAAAAAAAGGTTTGGTCTGTAAATATTTAACTATAATAAATATATTATGCATTTATTTAAAACAATCAAAAAGCTCTTAAACTATTATACAGTATAACAATTTTATTACATTAAAATTTTGTTTTGATGATTGAAATATTTCAGTGTTCTAATTCATAAATATTTCAATCTAAAAAAAATAAATTACCAACATTATTATCCTTTTTTTCCTCTTCAACTACTCATTTCACTGGTGCAAATTTTGTTTTCCCTAATGACTACAACAGAAAGGTATTTCTGAGCACAAACTTGGTGCACAAAGAGATCTTTCACTTAAGTTAAGAACTACAGATTCCTACAAGGCAACACATTTCACATTTGTAGAAAAACTGTTGCACCAGAAGGGCCAACACCCAAAAGCCAAATAAAGACATAAAAATTAGAGCAAAATATACTTTCTTTTCAAACCACAAACTACCAGTAATGTTTCTTCAAATAATATTCCTAAAACTGAATATTTTCCAAAATTCCAAATAAAGCTTGTAAGAGTTGAAAATTTACTGAATAACCAAGTACTCTAAGCTCTCATTTTATTGCTAATATTTTTAAAGTTCAGTAAAGAAGTCCTTAAAAATTAAACTAAATTTCTCATTTCAAGAAATAAGAACTTTAAATTTTCTCATTTTGCATATTGTTATATGAGATACACAGTTTATAATCTATCCACTTTGAACCAAAAATATTCCTTCTCAAATATAAACACATAACTTTATTTCAGTCCATACAATTTACAATTTCAGAATGCTGAAGTGAATTTATTTTTCAAGGCCCGAAAGTTTTTTAAGGTAGGTTTTGATTTAATTTATTGTCAATGCCTACATGTTCCATAGGGGTCAAATGGGATGTACAAATTGACAAAGGTGACAATGAATTTTCACATGTAGCTCAGAAAAAGGGAGGAAGAAAGAAGAAAATTGATTATTTACTATGGTGTAATTTGATCTTCAAAACAAGATATTCTTAAGCCTCTAAAACTCAGGGCCCAAGAAGCATGCCAATGTAAAACCATCACTGAGCAGCTGTGCAGGAATGGGAACCAAGGTGTATCTAATCAAACTTGCCATGTATTGCCTTTCACAATGATAATAATAATAATAATAACAACAACAACAACAACAACAATAATAATAAAAGACATGTAATGGCTCTGTGTATGTGTGTGATAATAATAATAATAATAATAATAACAACAACAACAACAACAACAACAATAATAATAAAAGACATGTAATGGCTCTGTGTATGTGTGTGCTCTGGAGGCAATTTCCTCTGTATGATTTCCCCTGTTTCTTATTTCAAAAGAGAAACAGAGTTCCAATCCATCAACTGGCTCAAGATATTTGTCAGCCGTGCACAAAATTTTATAGCTTAATTACCTGTTGAAAGTTTCTTTTGGTGCCAAGAAAAGCTGGTGATGAGGGGGGCGAGGGGGAGCTTTTAAAGAAAAAGAGAATGAGGAGACCTAAAACGTGACAACTGAAATAGAAAAGTCTAGCTCAGAGGACTAAGTAGTCCTTGCAAATCCTGGAAACAGTGGTGAATTAGCAGTTCCAGGTGCTCTGAGAGCAGTTTTGGCAAAGATCTCAGTATAACACCAAGTTTAGAGTCCTAACCAAAAAAAGCTCATTTTTCCCAGAGACAGAGAGTGGAGGACAGGGGAATAGGGACATTCCAGAGCCCAACCTGGCCTAAGGATGGAAGGGGTGGGACTTTCGTGAACGCACAGCAAGGCCTGGGGAGAGCCTGGGGTGGAGGACAGGCCTGACTCAGTACAGGGTCTGAGGGAGATGTGGCAATGCTTTGAACAAAAGTGAAAGTTAACTTTCAGACACATGAGTCTTGATGCCAAGTCTGCAGCCCTACGTGCTATGATTCTAACTGGTACATAATTGTTATCTCAAGATTTACTGGCACTACAGCAAAATAATGGTATACTGCACAACTTTGATCCCTGTGTAAACACAAAATTACCTGATAAATCAGAGACAGAACAAGTCTCCCTCTCATCCACCCTCCCCACCCCATCTCTTTCTATCCTCTTATCTTGCTCTAATTTCCATCATAACATCTTCCCCAACCTGACATTACGCATCTCTTTACCTTCTACCTCCCAACACAAGAATAAAAGCTGCCAAGAGAGGAGGGACTTCGGTTGACTGGTGTTACGTTTTGCACATAGAAGTGCCTGGTATGTAGTAAGTAAACAATATTTGCTAAATGACTATGTGAATGAATGTGGGAGCCAGGTATTGGACATGTCTAAGATAACTGTGGCACCTACCATATTTCATAAAATCTAACATTCCATTAATTCTAAGATGCACCATTATTTTACATATCACTGAAACAAAAAATGCTGTCCACTTTCACAAGATTTCTGATTTCAGAAGTGTCAAAATGTGAAAAAATCTCACAGCATTGACATATGATATATCCTAGAGTTGAATCCTTTATTTTCTTCATATCACACTTCACTACCTGCGAATGTTTGTCTACCTCTCAGTGATTTTATCTTGTTTATCACTGTAATCTCAGGACCTGGAATAGAATATGGAACACAGTAGATGCTCAATAAATATATGATGGATGAATCACTAAAGTAGTCAGAGAAATGGTTTTGACTGACCATCTGTAAGATAAGGAAAAGAAGGAGGAAAGTGTATAACGAGAAGGGAGGAGAAAGATTAGGGGTCAAATAACACTGATTTTCAAGGGAAATTTTGGCAACTGAGCATTTCCGTAAGGTGTATTAGTCACCATCTTTCTTTCATTCCCCCCTCTGAGCTTGCTTATGTAACCTTGGTTCTGAAAGTCAAGGTATTTATATACTCTTAAAATACTAGATATGAACTTAAAATTTAAATGTCCTTTCCATTAAAAAATAGCCATTCTTTAGATGTCAGATGTGTCTTCTATATATACAATGGATAAGACTATTCCTACCACTGAACCCTATAAAAGCTTCTAACACTTTTTCCCTTGTAGACAAAAGATAATTTAGAACCTATAAAACAATGTTACTCCTTATACTTGATATCTAACAATCAACTGTAAATATATCTTGAACAGTCTCTTACCTGCTGTTTATTGCCTTTTCTTGTTAACATGACAAATGGCATTGTGTCTGCAGACTCTGCCTCTCCTTCCCCACCACCAAGCGGGGGTCCTTTCCTCAGCTGGCTTTTGAGATGCAAAGGGATAGCAACATCAAGTTGGTGCACTTTAACAGATTCGCCACTTCGTTGCTTAAAAATAGAAATTAAAAAGTACATAAATACTCCAAGATACATATAGATATATGTAAATATAAATTGCAAACAATATACTAGGTGCTGTATTTCTTAAAAGGGACAATCATAAGAGCCAGAGTACTCTTTCTGAAATGAAGGTGAAACCAGGGACTGTTTCTCCCCCACTCTCTAAAGCCTTTACATATAACTTGGAAGGCACGATGTGACTTGGCTCCAGCCTCTCCCAAGTGCACAATGCTGCAGGTCCTGCTGAATCTCCCTGTTCCTCAAACACACTGTGCTGCTCCACCCATCCTCATAGCACACATCTTTCTTCACAACTGGCACAATGCATCACAGGAGCTTTTTTATCTGTCTGATAACCCCCAAGACTGGGCAGCCTCACAGCTGCACTCTCTTTCCCAGGCTCCCTGGCAGTGCTTTACACACAGCAGGTGCTCAATAAGTATTCAAAATGAATGGAGTCTACAACTATTCAGATTAATGTCTTGGTTGGTAAAATCAATAGTTTTTAACATGTATTTATTTATTTTTATTTATTTAGTTTTTTAATTTTTATTTTGTCAATATACAATATATATGATTATTATGGCCCATCACCGACA